CACAAACAACATAAACCATTGGCCAACACCACCTGAATCCCCTGATATGAATCCAATTGAAATGGTAATTATTATTACCAAGTGCAAAATAGTTTCAAATTTAACTTCATGTCTGTATTTGTTTTAAAAAACCTATTCTTTTCTAGTCTATATTATATTGTATATAGTGCAAGAGCCAGCACAGTGAGCCCTATATAGAATTTATTGACCTTGAATATCGTATTTGTTTACTAGCACACATGAGTAACAATTTTATTTTGTTACCTTAGGAATTAGACTTAGTTGTAAACCTTGATATCAAAATTTTGATACATAAAGAAACAGTACTTTTAATTATTTGCAGTGAGAAAATCAATGTGTGACTCTAACAAATGTTTTTGCTATTTAAATGTATGAAAAATTATATTGATGAATATTTATAATGAATGTTAATTTGAGAACAATACCGTTTTTTTTTTTAAATAACGTAACTATTACTACTGTTTATTTAAAAAAACTCGGTGCACGTGCTGTGTATTTTAAATGAGGCACATCCACAGACCCAATATTACATATACACTGTTTCCACTGTTTGCTTTTAAACCAATGATATTTGTAGGAGTGTATGGAAGGTATGATAATGGTGAATACACAGACTTAAACTGAAAAACACAAAGCCCATTTTATTCATGAAAAGCTACTGGTTCTTGAATAATTCATACACATCACAAGATACCAGTATATATTTTAATTCATTAAAACAATCCTAGGATTACAGATTTATTAAATATATATGTGTATATATTTATTTAATTATAGGTTTGGGCTGAGTTAAAACACCATATAAGGAGAAGGAAGAAACCTAAAAATAAGCAAGAACTTCTTGATGGTATTACAGTGTTTTGGCAGACAATGACACCTGAAAAATGTGTGCGTTACATTGACCATCTGTACAAAGCTATACCAGCTGTGGTTACAGCTTGAGGAGCAGCAACTGGACATTAAGAACTAGTTTGATATTCTGATCATGAGTTGTCAACTACAAATGTATATGTTTTGTTGGAATTTGATAGATAGCATTTCAGGAAAAATTATAGATACCAACACTAAGAATAATGTTTTAGAAAATAGAATTGTTAGTAGATTACAATTGCTGATTGAGTTCATTCTCTTTACTCAAGGCATACATTTTGTCAATTTGAGTTCAGGGTCAAAAATCATTTTTTAGCAGACACAGCTGAGTTAAAAAATCAGTTTAGAAGATTTACATATTGTTTACCTGTTTTAAATATCGAATGCAGTTTAAACTTATTTTTATCAACTTTTTGCACTGGTTAAAGAAAAATACTTTGTCTGAATTTAATATTATACTAGCATGTTTAAACAGTTTTTGGTGCAGTTATTTTAACATTTATATATTGGTGAATGCATTCTTCCATCATGTTCATATTTTTCTTTATTTCTTGTGTGATGTTTTTGTTTAATATTGTTTTTTTTTTGTAATTTCACAGTATGCATTTGTTTCATTTCTGTTCTTTAATTATAAATGCAATTGCTTTTGTTATATTTTTATTTTCTGAAAGGATAAAATTTTGTCTTTGTAAAACATTAAAATCTTTATTATTTGTGTGGAAATGTTTGATATGCTATATTTAAAAAATTTGGCAAAGTGTTCTATAAATTATATGATTTATAGTTGTCTACCTTCATTTTGTTTAATTTTTAAGACATTATCAACCAAAACTTGATATGTCATTATGTACTATTCAATTAATGTTAAGTCTATATTTACTCAATAAAATGTATATTTCATATTTCTGCCTTGTTGATAATCAGAAAATTTAAGGTTGAAATCGATAGTTCAACAGAAAAATCATGATATAATTTCTTGTGTCTTGATTAGCTGTTTAAGATAAAGTTCATTTGACTGTTTGCTTCAACCAGTGTTAGACTATACTTTTTGTAGTCCTGTTTTTGAGTGATAATTTTAGAAGGTGGAAGACCTGGATGCTTCATACGTTGTATATAGATGCCTTATGTTACATAGTTTCACTTTGTCATATGTCCATTGTCCTTGACCTCATTTCATGGTTCAGTGACCACTTGGAAAATGTTTTTTTTTTGTAATGTTAATTTCTTTTTTATTATGATTAATAGGATAACTATATTTAGTATGTGCGTACCTTGCAAGGTCCTCATTTCACGGTTCATTGCTCAGTGTTAAGTTTTTGTGAATTGGTCTTTTTTTCTTTAACTATAAGCAATAGGTCACCTATATTTGTTGTATAAGATTGTAATGTGTATATGTCTATCTAGAAGGTATCATCTGACCTTGACCTCATTTTCTTGGTTCATTGGTTAATGTTAAGTTTGTTTCTTATATACTATAAGCAATAGGTCAACTTTATTTAATGCATATATTGATTGTAAGGTGTACATGTCTGTCTGGCATGGTTCATCTGACCTTGACCTCATTTTCATGGTTCTTTGTCAATGTTTAGTTTTCTTGGTTGAGTCTATTTCTTAGAAACTATAAGCACGTGGTCAACTATATTTGGTGTATTAAATGATTGTCAGGTGTACATGTATTTCTTGTTTGGTTTATCTGACCTTGGTCTCATTTTTCTTTTATCATGTTAAGTTTATGAGATATTTGTAGTAAAGCTTTATATTTAAATAACCCATGCATCAACATGTTTAGCGTACTTAAAGATATCTTAGTCGCCATATGGCAATAGGTCAACTGTATTTGGTGTATAGAATGATTGTAAGCTTTATGTGTCTGTCTGGCAGGAATCATCTGACCTTGACTGCATTTTCTTGGTTCCTTCTTTAATTTTATGTTTTCTTGGTTGTTTGTTTCTTAGATACTATATTTTAATATGTCAACTATATTTGATCCATTGAATGATTGTAAAGTGTCTGGTAGGGTTCATCTGACCTTGACCTCATATTTAATATGTAATGTACTTCGGACCTTGACCGTAATTTTCTTGGATCATGTTTAGTTAATGTGATACTTTTAGTTTAATTAAATATTTAGGCTATCAATATAAAATAAATGGCCTGACGAGACGAGGCCATACAAACTGAATTTCTACTGTTTTTTTCTGATTTAGTGCTGTTAAACCACAAACTCCAGGTTAGGGGAGGGTTAGAACCCACAAACATGTTCAATCCGCTTTAAGTGCCTGTCCAATGTAAATGTCTGTATTCAGTATGAGAGATGCAAGAGATACCTAAGGACATTTGAACTCTAGATTTGAAAATAAACTGACCACACCATGGCTGAACATTCAAAAGACAAACCGGAGTACACAAAACACAACATAGAAAACTACAGACTGAGCAACACGAACACCACTAAAACTGAGGGTCATTGTAATTGTTTGCTGTTTTTTCATATTTGAGCATTGCTTGTTCATTGGGTTTTATTATGTATTGTTTCCCATTTTGTTGTGCCATGGCCTTTTATATCATATTAAAATACAGGAAAAATTTGCTCATTGTTGAAGGTTATATGTTTTCAGCAATGTCCCTCTGTATCAGATAATAGTTGTCTGATTGGCAATAGTACCACAGGTTAATACTTTTACAATGACCTGTATCTGTAAAGTATGTTGTAGTTTCCTAAAACTTTGGTATAAAAAAAAACGGATAGAGTCTGAAAATATATATATTTGGAATAAACATAAGTGTTCAGTATAAAATAAAACTACAACTTATGAGAACTGATGTTTTATTTATAAAATTATACTCATGTTCAGAGAAGATGAGAATATATTTGAATTAAACTATGAACATCAACATACGGTCAGATAAGATGAGAATATTCAAATAAAACTATGAAAATCAACATATATATTAATATTGCTATACAGCACATAATTCAATTCACTGCAATTCCTCTTGAAAAGCACAATCACACATATGTAAAAAAAAAATATGTCTCATTGTATTTAACCACCTAAAAAACATTAAAATTCAAATGTCTATCCATTTCTGTTGCAAGACGGTTACAAACAAAGTTAATAAAAAATATATATAAATATACTGTACAACACATAATTCAATTTTTTGCACACCACTTGCAAAGCACATTCACACCTTAAAACTTTAAATAGTATTTGCAACAACAAAAACATATAATTGTCTAAATGTATCAAACCATCCTAAAATCAAGTTTCTTACTAATATTAAAATTCAAACTCTTAATGTTTATCCAGTTTTACTGCAAGGAGATCCAAAAATCAATACAAGCTTTTGGAGACAATTTGATCGATCAGTGCTTTAAATATACAGTTTTAAAGGTTGAGATGAGACAGATCAAAGTATTTCCTCAAATGCTGATGAAAGTTCCAATTTGCTTTGTCAATTGCTCTCACAAAAGCTGACCAGTTCTTCTCGGCAAATGATGGTATTGACGGATAATGACTCTGACAGGCAAAGCGAATTGCATTTATCTTCTCCGTGGATATCTGTCCCTTCAATGAAGCTTTCCCTTGAAAAAATTTCCCTTTTACATTTTTGTTGATAACATCTTCCACTGAACAAATACTTCTGAACAGGTTGACTGCAAATCGTCTACTTGAATCACCTGAGGATATTTTGGCATCTTGCAGATGGTTGTCAGGGATTTGATTATATGGTGAGATGGTAGGTGCTGGTTGAAACAACTGCAAGTTGGTGTTAACAGAAGAAGGTTTGTTTTGCAGAATTGTTGTCAAACTCAAAGATAAAAATAGTGGGTCAATCACTGGTGTCCTAATATGGAGAGAAATTGGTGCAACTGGTTCTATATCTGGAATGTTGCTCTGGCAGTTCAGTTCCGCTAAGATGTCTCTGGCAGATGACGTTGACAATATGTTGCTACTTGTAGCTGATGGCAATGATGGTTTTGGATTTCTTACTTGTTGCATAGTTTGTTTATGAGCGATAGTTGACGGCAGATTTGAACTTGCTATTTGTGTTGTATATCTAGGTAATGACTCTGGAATACAGCTCTCAACTGAAGATTGTATTTAAGGAATGACTTGATGGATAGAATCTGTGTTACTTGTCACTACGTCAACGACCTGAATTTGTACAGGATTGAGAGACTGAATTGATATCAATACTCTGAGAACTTCATTCATTGTCTTCTCAATTCTGTCAAGGTAACTGCAGTGGTGTACCATTTGGCAGGATGGTGTTGTATTTATGTTGTCCTTCATAATACTCTGTAGAAGACGTGCTGATTCTGGGCTTGATATTATATGCTGAAAATTGCTGTTAGATAGAATGTCCGAAGAATCAGTTGGATCATCTGTGAAACTTGTTCCTTGTCTTGCAGATGACATGGATAATGGAGTAGAATTCTCTGAAGCTGAAGATACCATTGGTACAAATGGTTCTGCTACAAATATCTGCTGAGTAGAGAATGTTGGTGACTGTGTAGATCCTGGAGAATGGAATGTAGTTGACTGACTGTGAAATGTAGACTGTATGTCAGATATTGAGTTGGTCAGTGGTTGTTGAATATCAGGCTGAATAGATGGCTGGTTATACAGTGCTGAATGAGTAGATTTAGTAGAAACATAATTACAAGGTGTCGCTGACTGAAAAGATGACTGAGATACTGCTTGAACTGATGAATGTTGTGACTGTTGAGTTGAAGCTGGTTGAGTAGAAAGTACTGACGGAGGAGGTGACAATACGGCTCGAACTGATGAATATGGTGACTGTTGAGTTGAAGTTGGTTGAGTAGATGGTACTGACGGAGGGGGTGACAATACGGCTTGAACTGATGAATGTGGTGACTGTTGAGATGAAGTTGGTTGAGTAGAAAGTACTGACGGAGGAGGTGACAATGACAATATATCACAATTAGCTTCTGTAGATAATACTGACTCAGGAGATATAGCGGACTGACAATGAGTTTTCAACAGAATGGCTGGCTGAATATCAGACGGAGTTGACTGGTTATGACTTGTTGAATGAGAAGAAACTGGATATGAAGATGGTGTTGGTTGAATATGAGATGATAAGCTTTGTTTAGGTGGTGAGTTCCCAGGAGACATTTCTTCTGAACTTGATGTAAAGCTCATGACTTGCTTCATCACCTCTTCTGATGCAAGGTACTTTGCTGATTTTACACTGCTGGTACTACTGACAGACTTAGGTGGAGCAGTGGTTGCAAGAATGTTCGTCTTCTTCTTTTCATTTTTCTCCTACAACAAAATAAAAAAAATAAACATAATGTCATGTTTCTACAACCAATAGCTCTGAAATCTCAAGTCAAACTCAAACTTAACACAAATGTTAAACAGTTCACTTCATTATGAAAATTTGTACATAGTCTCAAGTTGATATGACAAGAACTTACTCTTATCCCAAATTTATACTATAACTTTGACCATAATGCTAGAATGAAAGAATGTGTACGGGGACAAATGCCCATGCTCAAATTTTGCAACAACAAAAAATTGGACGGACAGTCACAGTCAGTAAGCATTCAAATAAAGTTTGATGTAACCAAACATTTAATTATAACTCAAAAATACATAGATCTGGTAATTGTCAACTTTGACATTACACAGTTTACAGGATGTTAATAGGATTATGGCTTCAATAGTTTAATACATACATAGGGGATTATCACACCTTTTTTTACATTTTGGCATTGATCAATCAAATTTCTCAGGTAAATGCAACCCTAAACCAACAGGTAAAATGTATAAAAAATATTCAACTCTAAAATAACCAATAAATTTTATAAAAATATTCTAAAATATATCAGTAAATGAATAAAATCCTAAAATTGTATTACAAGTAAAGATTACAAAAAAAAAAATTAAAAATTCTTTATTCAGATCATGGAAGTTCTATATTGTCAATATAATTCTTCCATGTTTACAAGAAATGTTAATACAGAACATGCAGAATAAAACTTTCTGAAAAAAACATAAAAGAAACTTCATAAACTGATTTAACCAAGCAGAACTTGTATTCTGTAATTATAACTTAACTTTATAGATTTTGTGATAATAAACTAAATTCACTGTAAGGGTAAATGGAAAAAAGTATAAAACATCCATAGGTAAAAAAAGTCGCAATATATGATTGAGTAAATTTATAAATAAAACGAATAAGAAGTATGTTTGAATGCACATGAAAATTCGAAAGTATGACGGAAAATCACAGGATAAAAAGTCACAGACAAAATTTTTCAAACAAAAAGTCAGAGGAAAGAAAAGTCACAATTCAGTTTTGAGAGTTTTTTTTCTTTGAATAAGAAAACATTTATTTAAAAAAAAATCTTGGACTATATATATCATGTATATATTCAGCAACTTAGTAACAATTTTTTTTTTAAATCACTAGTAATGATAAAATTGTTAAGAAAACAAAATGTCAAAGAGGCTTGGTATTTCAACGGCTTCATGGTGTCAAGAAATATATCTTTAGTATGATTTAAATTTAATAAAGCTTCATTTATTAAGGCAAATGAACAATTTCCCAAAAAGTTAAATTATTACATGTAATAAAAAGAAAATAGTTAAAGATCCTCCTCTTACAAATATTTAAACAATTGTCAACTAATTTTTTGTGACTTTCAGAAGTTTCTGTCCTGAGACTATTTGTCATGTTTGTTCTGTGACCTTCTGTCCATCATGTCCATTTACCTAAAAAAAAATCACTCCTACAGGTATGAAATAATTGATTAAAATGAATTTTTTTAATGCATATATAAAAAGTCATAATCATATAATATATATACTGGTATACTTATCAGATCAGGTCTACAAAAAGGGCAAGGACTGTCACAAGATGCCTCTCATTAATCTCAAAAGTTCCTTTCAATAATTGTTGTAATAACTTAACTACTATTAATGGGGATGATTTTTTTTTTTTTGGGGGGGGGGGGGGGGGGGCTACGATGTAAATTTCAAAAAAGGCAGGACAGGAGTTTCGAGCAGGATGACAATTTATGTACAAAAAGTCTGGATAAGCTATTATAAAAAAAGCAGGTCTGGAAAGAGTGAAAAATAAAGAGGCAGGACAGAGATTACAACTGAAAAATAAATGGTAGCTCCTTTCTATGAATTAAAACAAGAATGTGTTCATAGTATATCGATTCCCCACTCACTATCATTTTCTATGTTCAGTGGACAGTGAAATTGGGGTCAAAACTCTAATTTGGCATTAAAATTATATAGCTCATACTAAAATGAACGAAAAATTTAACCTGAAGAGAACAGACGGACGGATGAACTGATGAACAGACCAAAAAACATAATGCCCCTAGGTGGGGCATAAAAAACTGCAGCACTTTCGATTTGAAAATATAACCATGCTATATCAGCTGGGAATATAAATGTCATATAGATATGAATAAAAGGAGATATGGGTATTATTTGAATAAAGGTTCATCTTTGAGTACAATAATGCAGAATAGAAGTAACGGTTGAGAAACTGACATTCAGAATTTTCAAATTTCAAAAGCCAAATAAAAAAAAATGTGTTTTTCCTGTTTCTCCTGTTTCTCCACCTACCCTATATTTTAAGCTTAGAAATAGCCTAGACCTTAACATTTGTTTGGTAATTTTTCAATTACCACTGTTAAAGTCAAGAATTTCTCTCAATGTGTAATAAAAGGTAAAATAAAAAAAAATTCCTTCCTACCCTACATGTATTTTATTTAAAGACACACATATTAATTTATTTAGCCTAATCAAAATGCTGGTAATGTTTGTGTAGTAACACCTGATGTAGTTGGATTCTGTGTGTCTGACAATTTGTTTGTGAATAATTTTATAGAAAAAAATACCAATAGAGTCCATGAACTGTCAGAGTATATACATTGCTTTATAAACATGTACCGCCGTACATCCCCAAATCAATAACCGACATTTTCTTTGAAAATCAGGTTAAAAATGGTATTATTCATTTTGATAATGCCTCTATGAGCAAGCTAGCCCTGGCAGTATGATCGTCTAATTCACCGTATTTGAAAACCTTTAAGCAAAGACATGATGAAGTTTCAGAGATTGGACTGAATTGTTATCATGGTTAATTTTTTTATATAACTATATTTAAGACACTCATCCCACCAAAGCTTGAAATCTTCAATTTAGATAAAAGGACTAGTGTTTTCTTATTGTTTTTTTTTTTATTGTGGTCAATTTTGTAAAGGACACAAGCTTAGTTAACTTTTGTTGTAATTATCTTCCTTAATTCTGTTGAAGTCACAATTTTTATCATGTAAATGTTGTACATTGACGATATTAAAAATGATTTTTTCTCTATTTTTTCTTAAATTATTTAATTTCCAAGTGATTTCAGTCATTGACAGTGGCAGGTCCATTAATTTCAAAAGAGGGTGCCCACTCCAGTCATTCTTTAGTAATTCCCTAAATAATTAACCAAATCAACAAAAGGGGGGAAGGGCCTGGATTCCCGTCTAAATCCGCCTCAGGATTAGTGTTTCTTATACATTCATGAATAAGAATATAACAAGCAATGCTATCAAACTTGTTAACTATAGACAATGATAGATGTATTTACACTTTCTCTGAATGACCCTAAATCAGTCTCTGAATATCTGTCTGACATCATGCAATAATCACTTTCAAATTATTCAGTGAAATGTTTTCAATTGTGATGTGTCTTGTGGTTTTAAGTAACACCAGCATGACCAGACACATTTTTATACAATTGTTCATTCTATTATATGTGGACTTTTTTACCTATGATTTCACAGAAAATGATTAGAATTGTTGACCCTTCAGTTAAATTTTGATCAGTGAACAATAACAGTTGAACTCTTGTTTCTTGCACCATCATTTGGTAATCCTTTGAGAAAGGGTGTCCAGGAGGATTTTTTTTTTCATTTTTACCTTTTGAAAATTTTCTATTTAGGAGAAAAGAAGACATGGTATAATTAATAATAAACTTTCCACCAGAAACAAAAAGACATAGAAGCTAATAACTATACATGCTATATAGGTCACTGCATGGCCTTCAACAATGAGCAAAGTAAATATAACATGGATCACGCTTTTAACATGTAAAAAGATCCCGAAATGAACATGATGAAAATGTATGCCAATAATACAAACGAAAAAATTAACTGCCTAATTTTAAAATGATTAACATGATTTATGTTGCAAACAATGAAGGAAAAAACATGATCACTGTTACTATAAACTTCCCCTTTCCTTGGAAAGAGGTGTATCCGAGTACATTCAGCATATTCAGTTGAAATCATTCCTTCATAAATTTTACAGACGCCATCACGAATTGGTTGATCGTTATGGAATAACCGTTTCACAGATGATATCTGATATCTATATGTTCCTTATGTCGTACAATCCCCTTCCCTTTTCACGATTTTGACCTACCGAATTAGACTATTTACCGAGTTTGTAACAACATGAGCAATACGACGGGTGCCACATGTGGAGCAGGATCTGCTTGCCCTTCCGGAGCACCTGAGATCAACCCCAGGTTTTGGTGGGGTTCGTGTTGCTTAGTCTTTAGTTTTCTATGTTGTGTGTTGTGTTCTATTATTTGTCTGGTTGTCTTTTTCTTTTTTAGCCATGGCGTTGTCAGTTTATTTTCGATCTATGAGTTTGACTGTCCCTCTGGTATCTTTTGTCCCTCTTTTGAAATAGGATCAACTCGCCAAGTTGAAAGAAACCCACAAAAAAATTACAAAAACACAAGAGACACTTCGTTGTAAGAGTACTTGCAGTTACTGAAAGCTACATTTTTAGTTCAATGCCAATAACAACTTATAAACCAATCGTGTAGCACTACATGTGTATGACACACTTTTTTTTAGTTCTTACCACCATGACCATGTAGTGATGTACCGGCACAGAACATTTCAACCCGCCCATTAAAATAATTAAGAGGTTGTCCCCTTAGCGTTAGTTTCATAATAGTTATGTTTACCCGTGTTTTGTCATTTATACACACATGAGTTTGACCACGATGACTAACATACCACATACACGAGACAAACACATCCAACATGTAACAAGTTTTAAGTGTGTAGGAGCATTTATAAGGAACGGGAAAGAAACTATTGTAATAGCGTCAATGTTTTAGCGAGAGTCGTAAGCACGGTCGGCGGTGAAAAAAGAGTTATATAAATATAATATATATTTATTCAAGATAAAAGGCATGAATTTGACTGATACAATACATTACAATGACACAGATA